AGGGGCATGTGATTTATTTGGTTGATCATTTTGCGTTAATTTTTTTTGGTCTTATTTGGTTGATCATTTTGCGTCCTTTTTTTGTCGCTATAGAAAAAAATGTAATAAATAAAATTAATAATTAAAAACATCCAAATAAATATATATTAGCGTTAAAAAAATGGTTGCTAATATGTACAATTTTAGTGACCAATACTAATTAGTGGTAACTAATTTAGTAACCAAAAAATTTTTTGGCCGCTTAAAGGCTCAACGATGAGGCTACTGCGACAAATCAGCGACCAAAATATTTTTGGTCGGGATTTGCTATATATAGCAGCCAAATAATCATTTTTGTGACCAATTTTGATAGTTGCTAATTACATATCTTCTTGTAGTGAATTTTTGGAATTAAACCTATCTTCTATGTCAGAAATTATAATATTTGGTATTCCATATAATCGAACAATCTATCCAAAATATTTGACAGTAAAATTAGAATGAAATAAGCCAACTTCATAAGGCAATCTACTATCACCTAAATGACATAATGTCCCAATATCAATATGGAAAAACTCATAGCAAAATCCATCATCACCTCTTCCCATATCCACTGTGGAATGGGTAATGGCCGTAAAAAATCTCCTAGCCACTGATGTTATGCTTTAATTAACAAACAGGCTTTACACTTATATATAAAAGTTGTTACATCCTTTTTTTAAACCGGACTATCATAATATATCGTTTAAATCACTATATATTTTGCTACTTTATGGATGAATAATATAGCCCAGAATAATGAGCCTTGTGCAGAATTTCTCATCTTAGATTTTCAGAAATAGGAAACCACAGTTTATTCTTACAAAAGATAACACCAAAATCAAATGCTTGCCATATTTCTAACCGGATTTAATTTGATGAATCAACTTCAAAAATTTTGTTTGATTTCTAAAATTCCTGAATCATTTTTGTAAAGAAGTCTCAATAATCATCATAGCTAAAACATCAAAATCTAGTTCATTAGGAGAAATCACATCCAACTGGAGTTTCTCCATATCCTAAATCAGTTGTTCATTAGATGTAAGTCATGTAAGAGATGCATAAAATTGCTTGCTTATATCGTATTCTGCCACATTAGTCTTATTAGTCTAACATTGAATAGTCAAATCATAGTCTTTAATCAACTCAAGTCACCTCCTTTGCCTTAAATTTAAATCTTTTTGAGTGATTATATACTTCAAGCTCTGATGATCAATTAATATCTCTCACCTAACTCCATATAAATAATATCTCCATATCTTCAAAGCAAATACCACATCAATAAGCTCCAAATTATGTGTCACATAGTTTCTCTCATATGGCTTTAATTGTTTAGAAGCATAATCTATGACTCTCTTGTTATGTATCAGGATACATCCCAATCCTTTCAAAGAAGCGTCATTGAATACATGAAAGCCTTTTGTACCTGAGGAAAGTGTTAGAGCTAGAGCAAAAGTTAATTAATCCTTCAATATCAGAAAACTAGTCTTACACTCAAATATCTCGACAAAAGCAACTTACTTCTAAACCAGTCTCATTAGAGGTGTAGAAATATAAGAAAATCCTTAAACTAACTTTCTATAATAATCGGTCATACCTATAAAACAACATACTTCAGTTATTGTAGTATAACGACTGACTAGCAACAACCAAAACTTTTTGAAGATCTATAAAGATACTCATACTACTCACTACATGTCCAAGAAAAGAAATATTCTTCAACCAAAATTCACACTTAAAAAATTTAGTGAACAATTGATGTCATCTCATAGCCTCCAGAATAATCCTCAAATATATGATATTCTTCATAAGCAGAATAAACAAAAATATTGTATATAAAAACAATAACAAATTTATCCATAAAATCTTAGAATATTATATTCATTAGATCCATAAAAATTACTGGTGCATTAGTCAACCTAAGAGGCATTATTAAGAAATCATAATGTCCTTATCTAATACTGAAAGCAATCTTCATCACATCAGCCTGTCTTACCTTCATCTGATAATGACCAAAATGCATATTATTCTTGGAATACACAAAAGATACAACATGTTGATCAAACAAATAATCAATCCTTGACCAATGATATTTGTTCTAAATGGTGACTTTGTTCAGCTCTCTATAATTAATGTATATATGCATCATTTAGTCATTTTTCTTCACAAATAAAATATGCACTCCCTCTAATGACACACTAGGATGGATTTCTACTAACTCTTGAAGCTACATTTTTAACTCCTGAATATTCTTTGGTGCTATCCTATACAAAGCCTTGGATATAGGGGATGTATCCATAAATTAATTTATACAAAACTCAATAACTCTATTTGTAGGTAAACTGATTAACTCCTAAAAATAAAAAATAAAAAATAAAAAAAAAAGGAAAAACTCTTGCTTTATCAAGACATTAGAAATAAATCCATACTCCACTTTGCTTACTCGTAATAATGACAAAAATACAGTACAATCCTTCTTCCATAGTTTATTCACTTTAATAACTATAATGCCCCAAGACCTAAAACAAGAATTTAAACCCACTTTCCTTAAACTTCTAGATTTATTAGCATACACCATAGCCAACTAAACAACCCAAAGAAAATACACTATAAACATTTAGAATGCACAAATCATAATTTCTTCCCAAAATAAATAAATTATAGTAGATCATATTATAATATTTTTAACAAAATATAAATATATGTTGAACTAGAAAAATCATAATTACCTTTCAAAACCAAGCTTCATGTTGCTTACTAGATTTAGCCTACTTTGCATAACTCTTACCCTTTCCTGAAATATTATGAACAATGGGGTGAGTATAAAACTTAGTAGGTTATCACCAATTCCCTATAACCGAGTTCAATTTATAATAAAATTGCAATTAAAATAAAATCATAAAGTACCATTTAACTTACAGTTTTATGTATATTAATTCACATATGAATATAGAAATGGACATACATCAATGCCCCTTATAACTCCCAAATTTCACATCCCATCTATTGAATACAAGTGTAGAGCAAAGCCAATACATAACAAAATATAGTCTAATACATAGTCATCATAGAGTTAAAATAATGCAGAGTAATCCAACACAGAGATATAATCATCTTGGGCTCAAGTAGAGAAATTTCCACAATAAAGCTCTAGGTTACCATGAAATGTATGATAACGAAAATACATTATGCAATTGAAGAATTTAAAGTAATTAGAGACTAATTACCAGTAAAAAAACCCCACATTTCAGTACCTACACAATGTTGATTAGAAATTTACCAAATTCACGAAGATAGTATAAAATACTAAATTAACATACTTTACTAATTATATTGAGATTCAGAAATATCACTATTTTCTAGAATAGGTAGAAATTCATACAAAGTAGATCGACATGTGAATTTTTGCATTCTTATAGTCAAATTATTTAGAACGGAGAATATAATTGTTTACTAAAAGTTACATATTGAAATATTTCCAAAACTCAAGATAAATACTTTTCAAAATATATATTTCATTATATACTGTACAATTGAAATACAAAATAGGGCAAGGATTGCCTACTTTAAGCCTGACAACTTTTCTAACTGGCAAGATGGATAATTTTTTTATTCTCTCTCTCTCTCTATCTCTCTCTCTCTCTCTCCCTTTCCTTTCTTTTTTATTCAACAAACTACTGGTCGAATGAGTTTTGACTAATGATTTTGGTTATTTTATATTTAAAAAATACTAATTCGGCCTAGACCTTGATGCTCTGACCTATGGTGCTGTTGTGCCTATGGATAATCTTGTAAATTCTCCTAAAATTTCATAAATTCCATCCCCAGCATTGTGGCGGTGCTACTCGAAACTATAAAGCTCCCTCAAAACTTAAATTTTTTTTCCATTTTCTTGAGAGCACAATGCCAAAGCACTGCAACGCCCAGAGTTGCAAGGCTTGTAGAAGAAAAAAAAATCTAAATATTGAATTTCACTTTCTAAGACTAATTTCTTAATCACTTTAAACTCAATTCAACATGATAACAATCATAGCTACTAAATCGGTCAAAATTATAATTATGAGCAGATAATTACCTGGATGTTAGACAACATGTATTACATTCTTTCCTCCTTCGAGAAAATACATTTGTACAAACGAAATGCCGTACTGGGACACTAACAACGCTTCATTTTAGTTTCTTTCTCCCAAGTTGTATCCTTTCATCTGGTGCTTCCAATGGACTTTAACAATTAGGATTTGCTTATTCTTTAGCTGCTTAACATCAAAGGCCATAATATATATACTTCCTTCATCACGCTCCGTAATGTTAGGGTAGACGACCTTCTAGACCCGAGGTCACATTATGACGAACATTGACAAATACAATAATATATGAGGAAGAAGAGAGAGTTATGAGATATGTAATGCCAAATTAATTTGAAACTATTCAAAACTCATTCAAAATTTAAATAATAATTTGAAAAAGTTTTAGAAACTTTGATTTTGCAAAGCATCAAATACGAGTAGTTATCTTTTATAGACATAAACCTAGGCAAAAATAATTCAAATAAATAAAATGTATATATATATTATATAATATTATACATAATATACATTCTCAAAATTAGTGATGAAAACACAATTCTATTTATTTATATTTTATATAGGGAGAACATTTAAACACATACTTCACTTTATCCAATACTCTATACTACTCTATTTATATATTTAACACTTAAAACTTTAATATTACATACACAACACCCTTAGTTCATTTTCATATCAAATATGAGTGGTAGAAATGAAATATATGAGTGGTAGGAAAGAAATATGAGTGGTATATTTAATATTAAAATAATATAAGGTGGTATGCATGTAATATTAAAATTTTAAATGTTAGATATGTAAATAGTATATTATAAAGTGGTATGTATGTAAATTTTTCTTTTTATATAATTATAACATCCTAACAAAAACCTAAATTTTAGGAGTTTAAGCGGTCTGCGTACCTCGAAGTCACCAACCACGTCTATAAATTGATGATCTCCGGAGGCCAGATAGAAGATTCAAGCCCTAGGGCATTAGTGTTGACGCCTTGACGGGGTGCAGCTGGACGGTATCAGGACCTTGATTCGCGGAATTCCTACACGGTTTGATTGTTAGGGTTTCTGTCATCTCTTTGGTGCATCCTTTTGAAAGCCTAGTTTTCTGAGAACTCCATCGTGTAAGAATCTTGTTATCGGAGTTGCTTTCGGAAACCATTTATTCTTCTTGGGAAGGAGGTTATTTCCGGCTTCGCCTGCTAAGGTTTGTTGTTTGATTTTTCTGGCCTTTGCTTTCTGCTAGATAAACCTTGAAATATTGTTTTTGTTGGCGTGTTTAGTTCTCGTTATTCTTCATGAAATGATCATAATGATGCTATGGAACTCTAGGATTCTCCTTTGAGTTCTTCGCTTCTATCACTGCGATGCCTTCTTATAGTTATCGATATTCATCATAATCGGGCGATCGAGTTTAGACGTAGGCATGGCTTGTTTAAACAATGCGTATTATTTGGTTTGCGAAAGAATTTCTCATAAGGTGGACTTTCTTTCTTGGGTGTCTCTCCATCTCTCTACTGTTGCATACACTAACTTGTTATGCACGACACATGCTGAATATTTAATCTTCTAAGGATAGATAGGAGAACCTTGAAAGTGCTTTTCCATGTAGTTTTTTTCCTTAATATATCGTCTGAGATTTTCACGCCTTTAGTAACGCAAAGATGTGTGTCGGTTTATTAGATTATAGCAATGCATTGTTTTTTAGATCGATTAGTTGAGCATATTATATTAAGTGCTTTTATGCTGTTCAGCTGTTGAATTGGAGGATGACTCATAATGCATATTAAATAGCTTAGAAATGAGCTATCTGATGCACTGCAGTTTATTTAAAACATCGGATTTCTTCCTAGGAGTACTTTTTGTTAGATTTACTTCCCAAAAAAACGTTAGCTAAAATTGTGATACTGCAATACTTTCAAAGTTTTTTTTGGTTTATGTTTAGTCCACTTATCATTGAAATACAATGTAACCTTCTTTTTATCCTTTTTAATGGATTTGACAGCATTAGGAAAAATCCTGCAGCATCGTAGTCCATTCTTCCTTGAAGAATTTTAGTGTAGGCATCTTCATTGGCTACATACTGATAGTTTTGTTCTATTTTATGATTTTGATCATTAATGGAAGATTAGTTCGTGAACATATTCTAGATGGAGGTAAATATGGTCCTGAACTAAACTTTGAATTACATTTAATGGAGCTATTCTTATATTTATGGCATGAAAAGCCATAATTGTTTGGCCTTTTGTAATTGTCATCTTGATTATTCCTGTTATTTAAAGTTTCATACTTAATGACTAAAGTCATTTTCTTCATGTTCTTGTTGGCTCGAGTTCTGGTTGTTTGAACTGGCAGTTATCATTGTAAAGCGATCCATACCAAGTTTCTAAAGCTTTTGTGTTATTTGAAATTAAAAGTGGGTACAAATGGCCAGATAATTTTCATTTACCCTTTTTTTATGATTGTTTCAAATCCATTAGTGTATCATTATCTTTAACAATAAGAATTAAATCTGCATATTTTGTTTTGGATGCTTATATCTGTTTGATGCCCTTTCTCGTAATTTAAGGCCTGATATCCTGTCTACTTTTAAATATATTTATCATGTTTGCCGTGGACCTGGCTAACTTGCCAACTTATGCAGCCCTTTATGCTAGCTGTTGAAAATAATGTGAGAACTAGCATGTTGTTCAGGCTTAATAAATGATAGAAGCATGTCTTGTTATGAATCTTTGACAAGTAGGTCAAATTATTTTTGTATCTCTTTATAGAGTGCTTTGTTTTTATTAAAATATAGTAAAATATGTAAAATAAAGAAAACATGTTTGACTGTATATAGTTAGGATAATTGAGCATTAGAAAGGTGTTTTAGAATTGAGCAAATTCGTCACAATTATACTTTTGCTGGCTTTTGTTTCCCGGTCTTTTCAAATGATATATTTGGGCAGTTGTCGTCACATAATATATACAACTTGAAGTTAAGTTTGGTTATCATACGGTGTTATGAATTCATGCCTAATAAATTTGAAGCAATTCTGCTTTTATTTAATTATTGAATTTTATAAATATGTCAAGTGGCATTTCTGTTAGTTGTGGCATAATTGTATTCTATTGATCCCGCAGCCACTGAAAGATATATCTATTAGTAAGTAGTAACATGATCTAATTGCTTTGAAAATTATGTCAAGCTATATTTTTTGAAATCACCGCTCATGATTGAAATTTGATTGTGGTGGCATGGTCTAACCCTTTGACGTATTAAGTTAGAATCAATTTTTTCTGCTGAACTTTATCTTGGGTACATTTGTCGTTTTCTAGCCTTCATGTTTGTATGCATGTAATTTTAGTTTTTGATATTGTGGGGCTGTAACTGGAGGGGATCTATAGTGGTCCGCATTATGTTTTATAGTTGTCATGTATTATTGTGCTATTTCATATCCTTGTTATTCTGTCCGCATGTTCTAGTTGACTTGTATTCTTGTGCTATTTCATATCCTTGTTATTCTGTAATAGTTATTGTGGTAATAAACATGCTGTAGATGGCTTCCAATAAACTTTCTACTGAGGCGATTGCATTAACTGAGAAAAAGATGGACATGACTTTAGGTATGTTTCTTATGGCTTGATTTAGCAAATTTTTGTTGTCATCAACCAAGTCTAGTATCTCTGAGTTGATTTCTGCTTTTTTAACACAGACGATATTATTAAAATGTCCAAAAAAGTCCCCTTTAAAGGAAAACAGGCTCCTAGGACATCGGTAAATTTTATGTTTTTCTCCCACATTTAATGATATTTAATTATTTATACAGAAAGTTTTGTGGAAATATTTTATTAATGTTATTCATTTTTTTCTGCTTAAAGAATAAAAGCCAGGGATTCCTGAATGACCGTGTTGCTCAGCGTAATGCAAAAGTTCAGAGGTTTATGAACACCAGATCGGCCATTAGGCAGGCATGAATTTAACACTCTTTACTGAATTTCGACTTGTTTGTCCCCTCACCAAGATATTCCTCACTGTATTGTTGGCTCATGTTTTGTATGATTTTGTTTACCAGGGTGTGCTTGCTCAGAGAAGAACAAACTTTAAAGGGAATCAGTTCCCAGTGACCACAGAGGTTGCAAGAAGGGCTACTGTTGTCCCTATTCGCAATAGGGCGGTCAATCCAATCAAGCAAAGGTTTTACTTGTTCCATTGTTATTTTTCAGGATTTTTTTTTACTATATTCTTTACTCTTAGATATATTGTTTTTTCCATTATCTTCTGCAGGTAATTCATGGTTATTTATGTGAATAGCGGAAAACTTGAAGCTAAATCCATTTCAAATATGTATTCAGTGGTCATGTGTGGGACATTCAACTGCTAAATCCACTGAGAATTGCAGTTATTTGATTCTTTTGTGTTTGCATGATCTTCATTGATATCAGAATTGGCATTTGGGTTGGAAATGTCCATTGTGCCTTATGTTGGATTATTTTAAGGACTTCAAAACTGCATTGATATGATACTTCGTGGCCATATATCATACAGTCTTAGTCTAAAGCATTAGAATTACAAGATCTACAATAGGTTCTTGTATTCAAGTGAAGAAGATGGATGGAAATTTGAAGTTTAATGCTACGCAATTGAGGAAATGGATTTTGACCTTACTTTTGACCTTTCTGATTTAAAAGGTTTCTGGATGAGTCTAACGATTTCAGATTTGGAGGGAACTGTTAGTTCTTATAGATTATTTTAACGGTTTTTGTTACATTTTTTGGAGAGCAGGTTTGGTATTTTTTGATATTTCTACTTAGTTTCATCTACCCGGCTCTTCTAGAATTTTGCCAGATGCTTGCTGATTCTTGCTAGATGTCATGTTTTCTGAGGATTTGATTTCAGTAAAGGATTTTATGCAAGTCTACATATCTGACCATTATATTTGTCAGCATCTTGAAGGAATGCATATATGGTTTGTAAGAAAAGAAAACCTCTATTGGCAGCATGCCAGAACCACATGATAGTCTTTTAGTTCAGTTATGCATACTTTGCAAGGTTAAGGGCATTTAGGTATTACACTCCAGCACTTATGGAGCTCTAATATATTCAATAACTTTTGAATCTTCTCGAGAGGACTACTTATTCTAGCATGCCAAAGTTCTACATGATTAAGTCATATCCTTCGATTAAGTAATGGCATTAGCTCTTGAAATTGAGTTCTTCTTGCAGAACTGTTTCCCTTTAGGATAAGCGACATGCTAAATCACATATGATAAGTTTGGATGCATGTGGACAAGTTGCATTTTGCTGCAAATTGTATTTGAGTACGCTCCGTGTGATCTAGAACACCTTTTGCTGTTTTCTAGATCTTCTCAAGTTGCATAGCATCCATCCAAACAGCTTTGGGATTGCAGCAATCTGAATGGTTTTGTATGTTCATTTGATTTCTAATCGTTTGACAGAAAGCTTTGTTTGAAAGAAGAGTACTGTGCTAAACAAATGCCAAAAAATGGTGAAATTTACTCATTTGAATTGTTATCTATCTTGAGCATTCAAATCTGTTCGTGTTATTGGGTTGAAGCAAGGGCCAGTGTAGATTTATCTGAAAGGAGTTGCAAAGCATTTAAGGGACGTCAGGGTGGTTTTCTTTGATGCGTTTCCGCTCTTCCGATTTCCCGTGAAAAGTGTTATGGTGATTGTTATCAAGGATCAGTGATGTATAAAGGAGCAGGCTTTATTGCTGGTGTTTTAAGCTTTTCTATTCAGATCCTATAGGGGCACTCCACACCATGCATTGCATTTCTTTTCAATCCGGCACACATAACACCATGGTCTAGCGGCTAATAATTTTATTTATTATAGTCATGATTTTTTGCTTTTTCTTGTGAAGGTGGGAAGTTTTCTAAACTTTGACTGGATTTACTGGTTGTACCTGATTGTTGAAGTCCATTCGCAATTAGTTATGGAAGTCTGGTCATGTAAATTTTGTTTCTATGGAATGACTAGTTGTACCATGCAGGGCTGCAGCTGTTCCAATTCGAACAAATGCCGGTGATGGCAATTTTGCTGGAAAGGTGAGCATGATCTTCTGTTTAACCTTTGTTGTGGATGATTTAGGAACAGGGTGATTTAGTTAGTACTCATTTTGTGTGAAAATGCAATCATTTTGATAAGTTTTGAAGGTTTTGTGCTTTAAAGCCAATGTTTACTTATAATTACATCCTACAAAGTGTTGGAATCTAACTAATTTCACGGATTTTCAAAATAACATTTTCTAACTAAAATCAACCTAATGCCTTAGTGATTATGCTTTATACATGTAGGTTAAGAAATGTCTTGAGTAATGTAGACTTTTCCTAGGCATGAGAGTTATCTGCAAATTGATCTATTTGACCTATGCTTCTTATGTTTCACTTTAGAAAAAAGAATCTTTTTCTTAAGCTCACATAAGTGCCCTTATTGGTAGAATTCCTATGATGATCTTGTAGAAAAGAAGTGGTTACTAAAGTTTAGAGTAGTCATTTTTTCAATGAATATTTATATACAAAGCTAAATAGACGAGAAAATAAAATAAATAATTACAATAACAAACATTGAAATCACCATTTAAAAAGGCGGACGAGGTGTACGCCTTGACGCCTCGAGGCGTGCCTAAATTTGAGGCGCATCCCAAGCTACTCGAGGTTTGCTTGCAAACTCAAGTATTTCCCCTTAGGGGTACTTACTAACTCAAGTATTTCCTATCAAATTAGTATCATAGCGTTGTCTTGTGATTATCGACGGTTGAAATTCTGAAATTTCAGCAGTTTAATTTCATCAGGAAGAAGATTTTCTCGTGATTCTTGGGAAAAAATATGACCGGGAAGAAGGTTGAAGGTTTGGAAGGAGAAATTGGGTAACTTAAATCATATTTTGAGAAAAAAATTTATGATTTTCAAAATAGATTTCATCTAATAATGAAAGGATGGAAGGGAAGTTCCTCGTGATGGAAGATATGTTGAAGAAATTGTTAGAGGTGAAGACCAATCCGACGACATCGGAAGCAAGGGAAACCATCAGCGGCCATGGAAAAGGTGGAAACCCTAACATGTTTAGGGGAAGGGAAAATCCGGAAGTGGAGATCTTTGAGGGTGAAGACGGAATGCCTCATCTAGAACCACTTTCTAGGGAGGAGATGAGTATTGGTTTCGAAAGAAGGGCTGCTGATTTTGTTGGGAGAAGAGAGGATTTCTACCGTAGAGGTGCTAAATTTGAAAGAAGAAGAGGGGAATTTGATGAAGGGGTTGAGTATGATCACCGAAGGGAAGATTATGACAATTGGGGAGCACATCCTCTTCATGGAATGGGAGGTTATAGAGGATTCAAGGGAAATGGGGGTGATCCAAAGGTAAGAAAGCTGTAGATGCCCATCTTTGAGGGTGAGGATGGCCATGACTGAATCTACAAGGTGGATCGATATTTCGCCGTGAATGAGTTGACTGAGGAAGAGAAGATGACGATGACTGGACTATATTTGGAGGGGAAGGCACTAGCATGGTACCAATGATGTGATATGATGCAACCCATTCGGAGCTGGAGGGAGTTCAAAGAGTTCTAGAACATTCTCGAACCGATAGGGGATGAGATTTATATGAGCAATTCTTTGCCTTGACACATGAGGGGACTGTGGTAGATTATCGTGATAGGTTCAAGTACTTGGCCAATAGATTAGATCGGTGTTTGAGACTGTGCTAGAGGGGAATTTTATGAAGGGGTTTATACTAGAGATTCGGGCAACGACTAGAGTGATGTGGCCAAGAGACCTGTGGGAGGCCATGGAGCTAGTCCAGTTTGTGGATAAAAAGCAGCTAGAGAGAGGGGCTAGGGGGAGCAACTCAGGGGGATCGTACCGGATATTACCACCTTCTTAGCTCCCAAGGGGCTAGTGCCCGGGAGTCTGAAGGAAATGCCTAAGGAGAGAGCTGGAGGAGGGTGAAATGCGTGAAATTTCAAAAGGCTGTCTAAGAAGGAGATACATAAGAAGAGGGCAAAGAGGTGTTTTAGATGCGACAAAAGTACTTGCCGCCTTGCCGGGGCATAGGTGTAAGGACCGAACTTTACATGTTTTCACAGTTTTTGATGAAGAGGAAGCTAAAGAGGGAGTTAGGAGTGGGTTAGAGATGGAGGAAAATGAGAAGTTGCATATGGATATGGAAGAAGTCTCCCTAAACTCAGTGGTGGGATTCACTCCGAATCACACTATGAAGGTGAAGGGAGGCATATGTGATAGCGAGGTGATAATGTTGATAGATAATGGGACAACCCACAATTTCATCTCCACCCAAATTGCTGATTTGCTGGGAGTGAAATTAGTGGATACATGAGGCTATGGGGTGATGATGAGCACGGGAAAGGTGGAAATGGGTAGAGGAGTTTGTAGGGGAGTGGTATTGATCATTCAGGGGATACAAGTGGTGGAGGATTTTCTTCCCTTGGAGTTGGGAAGCACCAATGTCATTATGGGGATAAAGTGACTACAGACTTTGGAGAAACCAAGGTCAATTGGGGGACACCAAGGATGAAACTAGTGGTTGGGGGAAAGAGTGATGATTCAGTGTGATGCGGAGCTATCTAAGACTTGGGTATCTCTCAAGTCTTTGATCAAAACCTTAGATGAGGTGGGAGGAGGATATTTGGTAATTGCATCGCTTGGAGGGGATCAGACTAGAGGAGGGAGAGATTCTCTCTTTAGTGCTGCCACTCGTACGACAATTCATTGATATTTTTCAACCTCCCCAGGGCCTACCACCACAGAGGCAGTTGGAGCACGCCATTGCTTTGAAGGAAGGGGTGTCACCAATCAGTGTTCGTTTCTACTGCTATCCCTAGATTCAAAAGGATGAGATTGAGAAGCTAATATGTGCTGGAATTTGGGATTATCAGGCTGAGTGTGAGTCCTTTCTCTAGTCCAGTCCTATTGGCTAAGAAAAAGGATGAGAGTTGACAGTTTTGTATGGATTACAGAGCTTTGAACAATTTTAGATAAGTTCCCTATTTCTATGATTGATGCGCTCCTGGATTAACTATATAGGGCAGTGATATTCTCCAAGCTGGATTTGAAGTCTAGATACCATCAGATTATAATGAGGGAGGCAGACATCTCAAAGATAGCTTTCAGGACACACGAGGGGCATTATGAGTTTTTGGTAATGCTGTTTGGGCTTACCAATTCCCCTGCTACTTTCCAATCCCTGATGAACAGGGTGTTCAGGCAGTACCTCTGAAAGTTTGTTCTAGTGTTCTTTGATGACATACTGGTGTACAACAAAAGTAAGGAGGAGCATCTGGAGCACTTGAAGATGGTCTTGGGAGCCCACAGGAACATTTGTTGAGGGCCAACCTAAAGAAGTGTTGCTTCACCCAGTCTAGCGTGGAGTACTTGAGACATGTAGTATCCCAGGAGGGAGTGGCGTCTGATCAAACAAAAATTGAGGTTATGCAGAAATGGCATATGTCTAGGAACCTAAGAGAGTTGAGGGATTTCCTAGGACTGATTGGTTACTACAGGAGATTTGTGAGGGGGTACAACACTATTGCGTGGCCCTTGACCAAGCAACTGAAGAAGGACAACTTTTTGTGGGGAGAGGTAGCAAGCAAGTTTTTTGAGAGATTGAAGAAAGCCATAATGACATTTTCAATTTTAGCTCTTCCAGACTCCAGCCAGATCTTTGTAGTAGAGACCGATGCATCAGGATATGGGTTGCGAGGAGTGCTGATACATAATTACAGGCCTATAACATACTTCAGTCAAGTGCTGTTAATCAGGGAGAGGCTGAAGTCAGTGTATGAAAGAGAGCTAATGACCATTATTTTGGCTATTCATAAGTGATGCCCTTACCTCTTGGGTAGACATTTCATTGTCTGAACATATCAAAAAAGCTTGAAATACTTATTGGAGCAAAGGATGGGGACAGAAGAGCATCATAGGTGGTTGTCCAAACTGTTAGGCTATGATTTCGAGATCCACTACAAATCGGGATCTGAAAATAAAGCGGCATATGCCTTATCAAGATGTGTTGGGGAACTCTAGGAGATGACAACTTCAGTGCCACTGATGGTAGATTAGGGGGCTATAAAGGATGAGAGCATGCTGGATGAGTTAAAAAAAATTAGGGAGGATTTGAGGAAGGATATGAATAGCCATCTGGGGTACTCACTTGAAGGGGGGGAGACTCTTACATTAAGGAAGGTTTGTGATGCACAAACCTTCATCCATATTCCCCACTTATTGCAGGAGTTTTATGAGAGTGCAGTTGGAGGCCATTCCGGGGTACAAAAGACCTACAAGAGACTAGTTGCTGAGTTATATTGGAAGGGGATGCACAAAGATGTGGTAGATATGGTGGCGAGGTGTGAAATCTTCCAGAGGAACAAGTATATGGCTATAGCTCCCGGGGGTTGCTACAACCTTTAAAACTTTTGAACAAGGTATGAGAGGGAGTGTTCATAGATTTTATATATGGACTATCACGATTAGAGGGATTCACAATCATTATGGTGGTGGTGGATAGTTGAGCAAGTATGCACATTTCATTCCATTATGACACCCCTACACTGTAATGACAGTGGCCGCAACATTCATCAGGGAGGTAGTCAGACTGCATGGGATTCCAGAGTCGAAAAGGGAGCACACCAGCTCTCAGATGATCCCATTTAAGGTGTTATATGGAAGAGACTCTCCACATTGAGTACACTTTGGAAAAGGGAGCACACCAGTATCATTAGTGAAGCAGCACTTGGAGGAAATGTATAGGGTGTTGGAGGAGTTGAGGAAATATCTAATAAGGGCACAACACATCATGAAGAGGCAGACAGATGCACATAGGAGAGACTTCCAATTTGAAGTAGGTGAGAAGGTTTTCCTAAAACTTCGTCACTACAGACAAAATATATTGGACAATAGGATAAATGAGAAGTTATCCCCAATGTATTTTGGCCCCTACGAGATATTGGACAAGATTGGAGCAGTGGTATACCGCTTGAAGTTATCCCCATCTGCCACTATACATCCAAATTCAAAGTGTCACAGCTGAGA